TTGATGTCAGCCTATTTTTTTCTAAAAATCACCACATTACATCGACTTTTAAAAAAAAATCCATACGATTTTATATTCAAAACAAGAATTTAAATAATTTTTCTCCAAAAAAAAATGTCATCACAATGATGTAAACTATTTCGACAGCGCATACTCCTTAAATTTTTAAAAACGTCATTTTTTTTTTTCAAAACACTCTAAATTCTTCTCTAAATTCCTCTCAAAATTCCTCTTATGATGAGAGTAATTTTGTTCTTTAAATGCTCTTTTATAGATTTTGTTGTTAATTTTTATAATAAACGAGTGTGGATGCTGTAATAGTTGATTGTATTTAGATAAAATCCATGTGATGTTGATATTTGATTACATGTGTGTATAAGTAAATGATGAAGAATTTGATGGAAAAAACACATGGTTGTAGTAGATGAAAATATATTGCAGATATCTGCAAAAAAGAAAATGAGAGAAAAATCTTCAAAGAGTTTTGTTGTATTATTTTTGGTTTGATGATAAAAGTGAGAGTGTATTGTGAATTTTTATGTAACACATTTGATACAATTTTTCATGTATATTTTGTTATGTGTTTCATGATTGATCAGATATTGACAAATGGAAGAGACTGCCGCCCGAGCAGCAATCATTTTCTATTATTCAATTTATGCAAGAGAACATTATAATTTCTTGTTTTTAATATCTGGATACTCTGTCGAGACTGATATTTCAACCTGAATATACGAATACGTGATTTCCACTCGGGACCGTGGAACGAGAACGTAGTAATTCACCCATTATACAAGAGAAATGTTAAATTTAACAGGCATCGCATAATTTTAAACTGCAAAATATATGAAAATCTGTTATTAGTTTGATTCTCTCCTTCTACGAGTACATCCTTATTTATAGACTATACATACATATCATTTTCTCTTATACATATTGTTTTGTTGTGTTTGTGGATTTATTTTGATAATTTTTCTCATATTATTATTTTTTCATTATGTTCGCAGTAAATTTGGTTTCCTCTTGTGACTTGTTTGTGGAAAATACTTTATGTGTGAACATATAATATAAATATATATATATAAGTAAATTACTAAGACGGATTTGATATTTAGTGTATGATGCTTTTAGTTTCTAGAATGGGGGAATAAAAGGAGATGAGTATATTATTCTAGGATTAGTTTTTATTGTTTATTTGAGCTTCACGTACTAATAAATTAATAACTGGCTAATATCTTATGTCAGTGTTTTAAAAATATTTTATTATTCGATCCAAAATTTAACGAGATTATTGAAATTTATGTGCTATAATTTGGATGTGTTAAAATTACCAATTTTTTATTAATTTAATAAAATAATTGATTTATGATTATGATTTTTTCAATTATTTCTAATAATTTGCAAAATGTCAAAGATATAAATAAATACAGCCCCTGAATATATGCAATTTATTTAATATATAAATTTGGCACGATATCGAGTTATAATAGTAACTTGTTACATTTTATGTCGTTAATAAATGTTAATCACTGCATACGACTCAAAATATTTAAAATATAAATCAGAAAAGCCTGAAAATATGCAATATATTAAAAATTTCATAAAATTATTTAAAAAGAAAAACAAATAATTTAAATTGATTTTTAGTGAATTGACGGCACGTTAAAAAAGTTTGTATACTTAACTTGAGTTTATCAAAACCACAACTAAGTATAGAAAGAGGAACCAAGTATATGAAGCGATACTGAACTTATACTAAACATTACTCAACCAGATCTATGTTTTGAGTATTTTATGAGTTTATGTAGCTATATTTTTTGAGTAATTTATGTGAATCTTTTTTATTTTTATATTTAGTTTAATATAGGCAATTTAAACTGATTATTAAAATTTAAATTGTATACTCAATAATTTTTAAACCAACAACAAGTTGTAGAAACAACATTTATTTTTTTATTTTTACAGAATCCATAATCTTACACTACGATACATATATACTAATACACAAAACAACTTATAACTTCTGCAAATCTGAAAGTTCATAAACATTCTTATAATATTTTTTACAAATTAAAGGCTGTAAATGCTGCACGAATCTTGTTTTTATTTTTCTGCAAAAAATTCCTTAACTTTTTCATATAAATTCAAAGGATAACATTCACATCGATCTCATTTGATTGTAGGATGCTTTACAAATCAAATACAATAAAATTCGAAAGAATATTAAAGAAATTTTATTTTGAAAAATATTTTGAGAATATTGGAAAAATAAGCAAGCGAAAAGTTAATTGAATTTTTATTCGAATTTTGTGAAAAAAATCACAAAATTTAAAAATTATAAAAAAATTTATTTGGTCTACTTAAAAGTTTAAAATTGTTGTTAAGCAAAAAATTAGGTAATTTTGTGTGCCAGAACACAAAATAATTTTTGATTTATTTTTAAAAAATTCTCGCCAACAATTCTGTTGGTTTGTTTTGTTTTTTTTTTTGGGTCCACATTAAGAAAACAAGAACAACAATACGAAAAAAAAACAAAAGTGTTTACGAGACGAAAAATTTTGTTTGTGTTTTAATTTTTATAAAAAATTATTTTAGTATTATTTGAGAATCCTTTCTGTAAGGATGTAATTTTCAAATATTTTAATCCGTGTTAAAAAGTAAAGTGAATCTGAAAAAAATTTTATTTATATTTTGGGAAGAAAAAAACAAAATAAACTTTAAAACTATTTTTGTGAAAATTTTATAAAATTAAAGTGGAAAAATTGAAAATTTTTATAATAAAAATAAAATTTTTAAATTAAAATTGTGAAAATTTTAAAAATATTTTAATAAAAAATCAACATTTTGCAAGTGAATTACGTAAAAAAACATAATAAAATTGAGAAAACAGAAAAAAAAATAGAAAAATATTTTAAGAACATATGGGAAATTCGTACAGAATTTTTTGTTTTTAAAGTGGTAAAAACTCAACCAGTAAGGTAAAATTTGATTAAATTTTGTTGATTCTTAAATAGGTTCTTAACAAATATTTGGAAATTTATCGAAAATTTGTGTAATTTTTTAAAAATTTCAATTAAGTTTTAATAAAACTAGATTTTGGTATTAAAAATTCAACAATAATAAGGCCATATTTGTAGGTTTTGTTTTAATGAATCCACTTTGAATTATTGAAATATTCAAACCAAAGGGTTCAAAATTGAACAGGAACACAAAAAATTTGGTCAGGTCATGAAAAATTATTGAAATCATTAAAACTATCAGAAAAAGAGAACATTAATTTCATTAAACCTTAAGCATAAATCCTGTAGTAATTAAAAATTTTTTTTTTAATAGCTTGTAAGGCCCCCCTATCGGTTTAAAACTTTTAGTTTCGAAAATAAACATAAGAACAATAAAAATTAATTTTCTTTAGAAAAAAAATCCTTGTACATTGTACCTAAAAATAGCAAAGTAATCGTTCCATAACTTCTTAGGAAAACACAAAACCAAAAAAGAAATAAAATCAAAAAAAAGTTTGTCCGGTTTTTTGTTGCTTGATTTTTTTTGTTGCTTGGTTTTTTTTTTTGGTTTTTTGGGTCTGAGGTCTCTCAAAATAACAACTTTCTATTTAGTTTTTTTTTTTGTAATATTTCAAATGTGGTTTCATGTTTTACCACAAAAAAAGAATCTAAAACTAAAAAAAACTTATTCATTCAAGACTATATACATTGTCGCCTTATAACCTTACCATCTCTCCTATCCCAATAAAATTTGTTTTTAATAAAAGAGGCAGCAGCATTCTTTCAATTTTTTTTTTAAATTTTCCATTAATTTTCAAAAATTTAAATTTAATATAAATTCCATGAGCCGAGACATAACAACAAAAGCAGTTATGCCCTTTACAATAAAAAATTTTAAATGGAAAAATTTTCAGTCAAAATATTGCATAGAGGACAAAAATTGGGCCTATAAAATGTAAGACATTTTTAATAAAACTTAAAATTACAAGACAATGACGTTGCCTTTGTTTTCTAAATTCATTAAATTTTTCCATTTGTTAAAGATTTTAGGAAAATTTTCAGAAAAAAAGCAAGAATTGAAATTAACAAAACTAATATTAGACTCTATTCTGTAAGTAACACAAAATTCGAACTTAATTGTCGGTAACTTGAAAATAAATCTTATGATTGTTACCTAGATAATTGATGCTCTTCTTGGACTGTTACCGTTTGTTAAAATTTTAGAATTTTAATTAAAAAAATTTGCAGTCAAGAATCAAAATGTTTCGTATTAAAAAGATCAATTGCGAAAATATTCGCAATAGCTTTAAATGGCGAATATAACAATGGCCAAATATTAACTCTTAATACGAGTTTAAAGTCCTCTAATAATATTTTTAGTAGTAGAATAATTTAAACATGTAGCAGTTCTTAGATCAACATAATTAAATCTAAATTTTGATTTAAGATCAAATGAATTTAATTAAGATTTTTCTTTTATTTTTAGATTATTAACTTAATTTTCCTGTGATTGTTCACAGTTGTTAAAGAACATTCATTAAATTTTCTAAAATATTATTGTAACGTGCAAGAACTATATAAGTGAATAAAATTTTGATTTACAAGTGTTAAAAGGCAGGAAGAAAAGGGTTAAAAGAGACAATAAACAAATAAACTAATTGATATTGTGAAAATTTAAAATTACATGAAAAATTTTATTGGACCACAAAAACAAAAAATTAAATCTAAATTCTAGTGAAAAAAAATTGGGCTTATTAATAATTATTGACAACAAGCAATTAAAACTGTTATAACTTTGAGTTCTCAATACAATTTGTGACTAAATTGTTATAAAAAAAATTTCATTTGAGAAACAGAACAAAATTGATCTAAGGAACCAAATAATATTAAAAAAAAATTTAAAGTGGGTGAAATTTGAATTTTTGAATTGAATTCAAAAATAAGAATTTTAAATTAATTTTAAAATTTAAATTGTGATTATCAAAATTTTATAATTGATGAAAAATTTTATAATTGGTGAATTTTAAAGAAGAAGAACTGAAAGAATTCAAGTAATTCAAAAAATCTGGGCCAAGCTTTGCTTCTAAGATAATCGAAATTGGTAAGTTAGAAAAATATTTTTTTAATTTTAATATTATGACCTCATAAAAAGAGCATTATGAACATTATTATACAATATATTTTTTATTTAAAATAACTGAGAAAATTTTATTAGTTGATAGAGCAGAGCACTCCCCCAAATTACTAATTTCTTCATTAAGAAATTGTCACAGCTTTTGCAAATTAAAAGGTCAATAAATTTGTTAATTTCAATTAATTGTCACAAATATTGTTAATAATATAATTGTAATTATTAATTATTCAGTTAATATTCTTAATATTGCCAATCTTAGCAATTTGGGTAGCAGTTGAGCTTTAATTAACGTGTTTAAGTGACTGAATTTTCCTCGATAACTTTTATTTTTACAGAGCATGATCTCACATCAATATGTTTCATAAAAACATCAATTGTACATTAATCACCTTACAAAATTGAAAAAACCTCCTTAATCCCAAAATAGTAGGAATAGTAGCTCTTTCTAACCCCAATAATAGCAAAATACTCTTGATTTCTTGATATAATATGAGAGTGTCGAGTTTTTTTAATTAATTAAGTAGCCGTTCCTAATAGTAGTGGAGTTCTCTGAATTTTAAGTGTCGATATAATTTGAAAGTGTCGAGGTTCTTTAATTAATTAAATCGATTATTGTTAATTAAAATGCTACACACTTTCTATAATTATTCAAAAATCTCAATTTTTTACACACAAATGTCAAAGGTTAAAAAATATTTTATTTCCTTTTTACAAGGATTTTTCAATTAAAAATGATAAAATGTGCGATTTTTTATTTTTGTAAAAAAATTTTTATTGCATCTCAAAGGTTTCAGGCTTTAAAAAATAAAACAAAATTATTTAGAAAATTTTTGAGATTTTTTAAAAAAAATTAAAAATGCGCAGTCTTTAGTGAGAACACGCGTTGGCGCATTTTTTTTTTTTTTTGAATTTAAAAAATTATTTAAGGATTCATTTAAAATGAAATTAGAAGAGAAAATAAAAAAAAAAAAACTTTTAAAACTTTTAAATTAAAAGTAATTGCAAAGAAAATTTAAGAATTTTTATGGTTTCCGCAACACTACAATTGATTTTGCTCTCCTATTTAATTGCCATCATTTTTTATTTAATTGCCATGATCTTCAATTCAAAAAATTTATCTGGAATTTGTCAAAAATTAAAAATACCAAAAAAAAATTTATGCGGAATAATAAATAATAAGAAAAAAACGCCTACTAGTAGGCAAAATTTATGATAAAAAGAAAAATTTTGAAGTTTGAGTTAAAACTTAATAAGAGCAATTATTTTGGTGTTCAAGGCTATAAATTGAGTCTTTATTGTTATTAATAATTTATTTTGAAGTAAAGCAGATTTTTTCTTAAATAAAAATTATTGTGATCGGTTTCACAAAATGACGGTGAAAATCAGCTTGCATAGCAATTCCGTCGTGTTATACAATAAATTGTTTCTGGAAAGATAAAATTTCTTTATAAGTTTGTCATAATAACTTGTAAAAATTTATGTAAAATGCTTAATATTTGCTTTTAATTAAATTTTATGTAAATATTAGAAAATTGAGTTCATTAAAACACTATATTTATCTGTACATGCCCGTCAGTCGGTAGTTTTTGTGATAAAGTAGCCTGACATCTATCAAGGTATTGACGATAATATAAAATCAAGGTATCAAGGTATTGACGATAATATAAAAATTTCAGTTGTATAATTTAAAAATTCTATAAACCTTTTATTATTAGAATCTTAATGAATGTCTTTATAATTAAATATTTGAGGTTTTTTGAACAAAATTGTTGAACATCAAATAGTATTTTTTATGAATTTCGAGACACAGCCACATGATTTTCAAAAATACTGTTATAAACACTTCTGTAATTTTCAAATGAACCTGGAACAGAAGATTATAAAGAACGTCTACGAAGTTTTAATAATTAATTTTATTTTTTTTCAAATTTAGATTTCAGAATATCTAGGTAGTGTTTACATTCTAAAAATCCTTAACAAATAAAATATTCATAACCTGGCACAAATATTCAATATGGTATACAAAACTTCACATTATCACACAAAATTTTTTCCTAAAAGAAATAACAAATGACATAAAACTTCATAAAAATTTTCTTATTCGGAAAATTCAAAACCAAAAAAAAAATACAAATTAAATTTGTTATACATATATGAATTTTGAATAACACAAAATGTTATACAACATGGTCATAAATTATAACAGTATACTTACATAGGGTATAAAAAGTAATTTAAATATGAAATAAATTTTGTTACCTACAACACAAAAACTTTACTTATATACAATTTACCGTGTAACAACTAATTTTATGTTGTCACATTGATTTTGTATGCTGCCATTTAATAAAATTGACCTCTAAAGTGACATAAATTTAAATCAAAATATTGTATTGGTGGTTTTACTTTTTATATAGTAGTGTTGTGGTGGTTACTGTCGTTATTATAGTGTAAAATGTCAATATGAATGAAAATTCATTTCTTTCTCTTTTTCTCGCTTTTACCCCCGTAAATTCACTTCTTATGTTAAAAATCTCATTGAATATTAGGCTGTTTAAAAAGAAATATATAAAAAAATTACTGAGATGGGACAAAGAGAGAAATGTAGTTGAGTTGGGAAAAGGAGAAGGGGATGGGAGAGAAAAAAAACATTATAAATGAAAGGGAGGAGGAGTGAAATTTTAATAAAAATATCCTCGTTACAAAAATAATTTTTTTTGTATGTACTATGTTTGTGTGGAAATGGAACACATTCAATCTCTAAATGGCAAATGATTTGACAGGGTAATGGGGTCGGTTTGCTGAGAAAAATTGTTTTTTTTTTTCTTCGAAAAATGGTAGTAAAAAATTTTCTTATTTATACAATTCTTATGTTTTTTAATATTAAGAAAATTTGTTTTCTTTTTCCTCCATCTTCCAAGAAATAATTTTGAAACTGAGAATGAAGAAAAAGTTTTATGCCTATATTTATTTTAATTTTGGAATAGGGGCAAGACACAAAAAAACAAAAACAAGAACGATGTCATTTTTATTTGGGTTCTATGTATAGAAGAAAACAAGAACGGTAGATTTTGTGTGGCATTTCTATGAAAAACTTTGAAATAATAATAATATCGGTATGTAGGTACTCATAAATATTTATATGCAAATATTGTGAAATGTTAATATAATTTTAATAATAAATATGTTGAAAAGTGTATAACAGTTGTTGGCGTTTGCTCTTTTTCCATGTATGATACTTTAATTTATTTAACAATTGCATGGATTGAACATAATTGTTGTACAACGTCCACATACTCGTACAACGTACATATGAGACATGGCGAATAGACAATGATAGACCGTTTACAATTCTTGTTTTGTCACTAATTGCCGTGCCGAAAGTAAATGTCACCAGTGTAAATAAAAGAAGGGTTCCGTTTAGAAAACGTCACACCGTACTTGTTAAATGGAAGAAGAGTTAATTGAAATATTATTAAGAGAAATGAAAATACAAAATTGTCATCTTAATATTAACAATTTCAAAAGTTTTAATTATCGTTAAATTACCTTAATTTTACATGTAAATAAAATTTACTGCATTATGAGTTGATGACGCCTGAGCAGACACTAACGCAATTTCTTTATACTTGGTGGTGTTTCCAATCACCATGCCAAATAAAATTTACAACATTTTAGTGAATGGCGCCTGAGCAGATATTAAAGTAATTTTATTATATTTGATGGTGTTTACAAATAGCGACGCCAGATGAAATTTACAATATTATAAGTTGATGGCGCCTGAGCAGATACCAACGTGATTTTAATATATTCGATGGTGTTTACGAATACCGATGCCAGATAAAATTTACAACATTATCAGTTGATGGCGCCTGAGCAGATACCAACATGATTTTATTATATTCGAAGGTGTTTACAAATACCGACGCCAGATGAAATCTACAATATTTTAAGTTAGTGGCGCCTGAGCATATAGCAAAGTGACTTTATTATATGCGGTGGTGCTTGTAGTTATGAGGCCAAATAAAATTTATAATATTACAGACTGATGGCGCCCGAGCAAATGTCAACGAGATTTAATTATACTGGATGATCTTTAAACAAATACAAAACAATCATCTATTCTGCTTTATACTAATTTCAATATCCTGCGAATACTAATAAAAATAAATCTTATTTCATTTACCTTAAACTTATTTATTACTTGTGTATATATGTGATAAAACTAAAAATATTCTCTTTGAATTTAAATTAGGATTTTTCTTCATACATTTTAATTTATTCTCTATACATTTATACTTTATTAGATTTTTTAAAAATTCTACATTGTAAATGATAGAATTTAAATGAATTTTTATTGGTATACTATATATGAAAGAAGATTTATGAATTTATGCAGGTATTAAGTTGAACGGGTAGTTAAAAACAACTCATATAATGTGGATATATGCTCAGTATTGTTATCTATAGACTAGAGTCGTTGAATTTAATAGAAAATTAAACATTACATTCTTCTATATGTGATTTTTTAATGCAAAAATTTAAATTGCAGTGAATTGCTTCATATCATGTCCTTCATATGAGAGATGAGATATATTGACAGTGAAATCGTCTTGATATTTCAACTTAAAATACAAAATTACAAATATAAAAAACATGAAGTATGGTACAAGAACCTGCATAAAATTTTCATAATTTCAAATGAAAAAAAATTAAAAATTCTAGTCCTGAGTTATTTTTATGTTATGCTTTTAGGAATAAAAAAATAATAACAGAAGAAGAGTACAATGAGAGGCGTAACAGGAGGAATGAAACTAAAATTCGATTAAATTTCATAAAATCATTAGTTATTCAGAAACCATGGTTTTATTTGTTTCTCTTCCATATTGAATCCTGTATTTTTTCTCCTTAATTTAAAAAAAAATAATAATAATATGCGTAATAATATTAAAATGACATGCAAGTGT